TGAGACTTTCGTTCAATGGCGTACACCCTTTGGCTGCGCGAGGCCTTCAATTTGTCCCTAGGCTGTCCATCGTAAAAGTGTTTGTGACAGAGAAGCCTATATATTCAAATTCGCTCAGCCAGCGTGCTATTTCGTGCGGCTTCCCTACAGTTTCGATCTAAGGCGATCAAGCAAGTTCCATCCAAAGGTGGATTAATGTCTGCAAGCAGACTACTATTGCATGGGTCATGTCACCCTCTACGACTAAAATGTCTTACTTTGATCGAAAGCTTATGTAGCTTAAACCGGTCAATATAATGATTACAAAACATTTTAGTTGTGACTATGGTACCTTCCTGTGCACATATAAGGGTTAAGAGTTAGGTATTACTTTGGAATCCGTAGGTGTTTCGCCTTACATAGAATGGTATATGCTTTTAAAATGGTAAAAACGCGTCGGTTGATAAAGTCTCGAAGCAGGTGCTAAATTCCCTGTAAATTTCAGGCAAACATGATGGTTATAAACCTGCATTTGCGGACACTGACCAAAGTATCTTGCTTGACGGTTGACTTTATTTGCTTTAAAGTAACGTAACACATAAAGAGATAACAACTCATTCATTAATTACTTAAAGATTCGCTGAGTACTTTCTCGCTTTTCAAAGCAGTTCATTGTAATATGCCTAGAAAGAATGGAAATATGATGTGAAGAATGGGGGAACATGCTAAGTTATGTAGTACACTACTTCACATTCGAGTTAATAGGTTCAGCCGAAAGCCATGAAAGCAAAATCTACATAATGAGTGATGTAAGTTACAATTCAAGTTCGATTCCAAAATCATTGTCAAAATCACATAAAGTAGCATAAATTTTTGCGAAACATGTGGTGGAAACAGTGCGGTGACTATATAATACGTATGGTACTTCTAGCCTATAGGATCTGGGTAGTGACTAAAGAGTGCTGGCTACTAGTACTATATATATGCGAGAAAAAGGAAACTAAATTGGCTTAAAAAAGTAAAAGTAAGTGCAAAGAGAAACAATAAAAGGGACATCGCGTTAAGAAATTATATGTATCCCAAGGAATAAAGTAGTTACACTAGTGCTGTTATAGCTACAAAAGAACGAATTCTTGCTTATAAATTACTAGACGACTAATTCAAGCCAGTTGGTGTACTCTCTCAGCTCTTCACCGCAACCTCACACCTTTAACCAAGTGTGACTTATCAACTTTTAGATGGCTTTTGCATGTACGAAATGCAACTCGAACTGAGAGGTAACCTGAGTTTTGAGGTTCCTTGTCTTGGCTCTGTACTTTTCTGTTCTGTAGTTCTCTTCTTTGTAATTTTTAAGTAAATTTATACGTATACACATAAATTATCAATAATATCTTTGTTTTTACACCTACCCATCCTCATAAATGTAACCTATCCGGTGCGTTACAGTTGCAGCGTCTCATGACTTTTTTTGTTTACTAGTAAAGCAGCAGATCATTAAGTCCTACCGAGACGAATGGCACCCGGCTTTGACGACACTTTTACTGCTATACTGAAACTATTTTAGTGGCCCACGTAAACTTGTGATGCTGCCGACGGCACCGAGACAGTTTCTCCGCCTAATACCGTTAATCAGCCTCCTGTGAAATTCTTACCTTTAGGCGAAGCGATAAAACTCACCAACTCTAATATTAAAAATTAGTTCTGCGTGGGAATGCTCGCTTGGTTACCATGTACATAGATCACCTTGTTGTAGGTAAGAGAACTGTAAAACAATCATACCAGGATCGAGGTTGTTGTTGTAGCTCAGAGGTTAAGAGCATGGACGCGCAAAACTAAGGTCGTGGGTTCGATTCCCACTGACGTGATTCTCTTTTTTCAGTCATTGGTGGCATACGTACTTGACCTCGCCTTCATAAATTATAATAAAGGTTATTCTTGGGAATCGACAGCAAAAGGTTAGTTTGCGACAATATAAAACTTGACACAATTAAATGAGAAAATAGAATTTTAATTTGATGTTTGTTTAGAACTCCCTATCTTCTCGTGTAGTGTTTAACTATAGCGCCTAATAAAAGGTAGCGAAGAATAACAAGAATTATAGATATACAGCTTTATTGCGTCGCTCGCCCGATATACAAACAAACACGCACTGAGACGACTATTACACAAAAATGCATTCGCGCCAGCTTCAACACTTAAAAAAAGGTTTCTTGCATAGTCTTCCCAACAATCTATACCTTTAAATTAAAGCGCATGCTAGGATTAATCACGAACATTCGGGGACATACTACTAACATACAAATCCAAAATTTTGAAAGCAAAAAAAATTTCAATTACCAAAAAGTTTATTGGCATACAGATCCCAAGAAATGCAAGGAACGTTAAGAGAAATAAACGGCTGTACAGTCACAATAAATTAACTCCAAATATTAAATTTTTGTAAAAACTGAAATTGAAAAACGGAATGAACTGTTCTAAAGCGCTCTTTCGAACGTCAGTATCAATAATATATATTCTACTCTCTATCTTTCTGGAAGCATGACATAAAATAATTCGATCTAAATTCCTTAACCATCTTTAGAAAATGGTAACGAGAGGAATGGACAGTAAAATTACAATACGTAAATATAATATTCTTGTTAGTAATAATAAAATTTTGTAGTGCTGAACACTAAAAACTATTTATATAAAAATTAGCTACTATTAAGCAGAGAGACATGTTTAAAAGCTCACAAAGAACTCATCGACCTCAAAAGCTAGAGAGCACCCCTATCATTACCCGTAGTATCGCGAACAACACCAAATAACTTTTTTTGCGGTATCTTCTCAAAACCCCGAAAGGGGTAGATGGATTTGCTCGTTGTTCCTTAAAACGTTAGCTGTGTAAAAAAAAAAGAAAACGTTAATAAATAGATTAATTAAAAAAAATAAACTGACTCTACCCGTAGGGTTTCTAATTACTGGGTTTCAAATCATATGCAGTCAGCCGTCAACCTAGCCCCTTAAAAAAAATTATGGCCAAAAGTTTGGTAATATCTTAATATAACGTGCAATACACAGGATTTAATCGATTGTTTATGCTTTTGCTTAGTAAAACCGAGCGCAGAGTGCTTAGGTAAGTAGGGGTATGCAAACGACAAATGTGCGCTCAACGCACATCGGGGGGCCGTCATGGGAGCGTGCGCCTAATTAGGGTTTGTATGTCAGTTCTTGAGCAAACTGTAGGTTCAAATGCCTACTAACACATTAGAAAGAAACAGTAGCTACAATTTGGAGAAAAAGTTTAAAGTTGTTTTAAACCTAGGAAGCCGAGCAATCGTGGACAGTTTTCGTATGTGACAGTAATAGATTCGTTAACCATAATAGGACACGCATATTTAATAAAGGCGCCATTTATTTCGCAGAGATAGCGCGCTTTTTCCACATAGCAGCGGATAGAGTGCTTGGATAACCGCAATGGATCCGACATAACCGCTTATCAAAGGTTAGAGGCGTAGTAGTGAAGCGCACCTTTTTAAAATGAAAAGTGTTCCGCATCACCGCATTTAATGGCCACATCCTCTAGTGCCAGCACCGCTTAGCAAATCTTTCCGAGTAGCGTTGTACTTCACAAAGCACTTCTCCAAAATCTGAATTGATTTTCTAGAAGTGCTTTCTTTGTGTTTCAACAAACCCTTCCAATCTACGTAATTGATCGACCTCCACAGTTTTGCCCACAGCTAAAAGTAGGTTATGAGGTGATGTTTGTTGGAATCTGCTGAAGTCCACGGAGTATTAGATAGCACCATAGCTGATTGTAGAAGCACTATTTTTGACCTTTAGGATCATTTTTTACTCTTTTAGGTGCTTAAAAACACCGTATCCTCAGCTGCCTAAATTAGGGCTAATTTATTGCCGTAGCAGGAACTTAAAATGGCTGGAATCTTTTTGACCACTTTTACGATACGAACCTCGAGACGGCAGTTGTCGGCACATCTTTTACGTCCATTAAAGAATCTACTAAACTTGATGAAAGCTTCGAGAACTGTCATCGCCTTTCGAAGCGGTTGTATATCTAATTCTCTTAGAAAGATCTGTTGCAGTTAACTAATACTGTACATAGTACTAATACTATATTACATCCTTAGCTAAAAGATTTAAATAAGCATGCATCCTTTGGATCAAGGATTAGTGTATAGTAAACATTAATCATAGAGTTCTTTTATGGCGGCTTTCGGGAAAAGGAACCGGATATATTGTAGTGCAAAACAGGAAATACGGTTACCGTCGCGAAATTTATAACAGCGATTTCATCAGCTGTGCGTGGTTTGATAAACCCCCCACCAGTGGTTGAGGGCTTGCGGTGTCATGTCTGCATTGCTAAATGTAGCCCAACTTATAGGCACGCACTGAGCAGCGAGTTAACAGGGATAGAGGAGAACCTTTTCTCCATCGCTTACAATCATTATCACGCCGTTATTAAGTGGCGTAGACTGTGTGCGGTAGTCGTTTTGAATTCGTTTAAAAAAGCGCCCAAAAGTGGTCCTCTGTAATGATATGCCTTTAAAGTCGGTTTAGCTCCAGCTGTCGTCAGGGTTCATGTAGCAGCAACCAGGCTATCAATTGGCGGTGTTAACGAATAAATTTCATTAGATAATCCAGAAGACCATGTCAGCGCGCTCTCAAAACTATCAACTACATCAGCTAGGGAGGAATCGAAGGTAATTTAAAAAATTTGCGTACTTTAAAAATTAATTATACACCTCTCGTTTTCTGTAATTTAATACCCTAACCTCTAACGACAGACAGCCAAATTTGAGCTTACTCGAGAGAAGTAAACGGTCATAAGCCATTTTAAACCTATTACAACTGATCAAATCACTAAGTTGCACTCACAGTAATGTGGTGAAAGGGCTGTGGAAGGTCTCAACCTACAGAAAACAATTATTTTGGGGTCTCCTAGGCTTATGGGAAGTTATGGCGTTTTGCTTCCGCTTTTTAGGTATTTCAACTTGTTCTGCCTTTAGTTCTTCCTTGCTGTGGCGGGGGTCCCCTATATATTTTAAGTTAACTTCTATGATTTTTTGGCTAGTGTTACTTACCTTACAAAAAGACACTTTTCTTCTTATCTTATTTTTTGAGTTTAAATCTGTTACAAAGGGTCTTCAAGCTATTATATAAAGAGAAAAAAATTTGCACCTTCACTGGTAAGAGCATTATGTGGTTGTTTTTAATTTTCTTTTACTCACTGAGTCGAACTGGGCTAAGTTAAAGGTAACGATGGCAGGCGAGTCGATACTCCACGTCGAGGAAGAGAAGCGTAGTTCTAAATTGAATCCTATACAAAAGGTTTTGGGCTTGAAGCTATTGTTTATTTTTACACTTGTTTTTATCAGTTTTTTATTTTAGGTTTTTAAAAAATTTAACTAATTATTAAATTAAAAGGAACTATTTTTCGAAAGGGAGTCTAGTCGAACAGATTTTTGCAAGAGATATGAGCCGGATGAATTTGAATCACGCAAGCACTATTACCCTCGAGTCTTAAATTCTCAACTTCATCCCTTTGTTTCTTTTTTTTTTAATCTTTCCACTGAACAAATGGTCAAACGTTACTGCCATCTTCACCCGCAAGCTAATTCTGAGGCCCTTTTATCCGCTTTAAAATATGTAGTAAGTTGACACTTTTCCTCTATATATTAATTTTTTGTGGTTGTTAAAATAGCATATTTTTTTTAAGCCTAAGTATCTGAGGTGGGCTGGTTCTGATTTGTTTTATGTGACCAACGAAGTTGGTAATCGGGCCATGCTTATAGTTGAAACCAATTCTTGTCCTTCTGGACAAAAATCCATGCCCCACCTTTCTGACGATGACGAATATGGGTTTTAAGAGTTTATTATAAAACACAATTAATTTTTGAAAACTAAATACACCTGTGTTGTACTGCGTAGTTGCTATAGGAAACTGGTTGAGCTTACTTTCAAGCCTATGGTTTTGGAAGCCCAGAAGAACCAATCAGACTTCATTCACGAAGGTATAGCTTTTCATGATTTAATATTTAATATTGTTTTATTCCAAACTGTTCAAATCGCCTTGGTATTATTAAGCTATGCTTCTCTATTGACCTTAACTAACAGGAGTGCTTGCAGTATTGTATGATAAGAACATTATGGAAGCGAGCGGGTATGCCGCTGCGTTGGCCACCGTGTTTAATGAGCCCGTTTATTTAGTGGAGTGTCGTGACTTTACTTCTTACACACGTCCAGGTGAGACATCTCCACCCGACTTGGTCAGGTCTGTTTACAACACTCTTGATAGCCTTTTGATATGCTGAAATTTTACGGGCTGTTTGGCGACAAATTTTTGTTAGAGTTAAGTGGTCGGAGGACGGTGTTTGTCACATTAAAGTTACTCCGGAAGAGAAGTGGCTTCCCGTACGGGCATGCTTTCGATACGTTACACAGAGACCTTGGAACAGAATTCCGGTCGATTCACGCACGTTAATACTAAACCCCACGGTCGTCTGGTTTGCAGTACTTGATGCAAAATTTACAAAGGAATTTACCACTTTTCACTTTATATAGCTTGGCAGGTGGCCGAAATAAAAGCCTTGCCGCTCTGGCCTATGATCTCTACAACAAGGAGCTCAAACACCACGGCTTTCAGATAACAGTCCCTCAAACATTTCGTGAAGTCTCGAAGCGCGACGTTCCGGCTTTCGTGGAGTGGCTGGGAGGGCGGGCTGTTGTTAAGAACCCTTACTCTAATGCGGGACAGGGGTATACCTTCTCTCTTTCTTTAGGGGAAAAAGAGGTCATTTATCATCCCGGCAATGCAGCGTTTATACCGTCACGAATGAAAAGGAACTAAATGACTTAATGCAGGGGCATCACGACTATGACCAATTCATCGTTCAACAACTGATCGGTATTGTTTATAAATTCACCCGATTACACTGTTTTCAGTTGTCTTGGAGGCAATGCTGAGTGGTCTTCCATTACCAGCAAGACACGCTACTACCATGTGGGGACCATGCCGTCGGCCAAGTATTTGACTTCGTACGTTTATGATCTGCGCATGATGGTACGGTAACTTTCTTTTTCTTTTAATTTGAATTTCCTTTAGCATATGATAATGCAAGGTCTGTGCTACATCCAAGGGGTATCGGCCTCTCGCTATGTATTCTCGCCAGGCTAGTGCGCCTCTTCCTGAGCAACTTAGTGAGGGTCATGATTCGTGGACAATATTAGGTTTTATTGCTGGCAACAATATTAATTACGTAAAAGTTATGAGCTTTTTCTTTGCAGGAACTAACCTTTCTGTACGAAAAGACGATGGCGCTTGGGACACTGAAACCGACAGGCTAATGCTCGTGGACAGAAAGGACTTTAACCGCCTGGGTTAACAGGTAGTGCCCCTTGCAAGTTTGTTTCTCACAGCTGCGTGCAAAAAGGTCTGGGGATTGACGACCTGATTAAGGCATTCATCCAGACGGCGCTAGCTACCAGCGCCATCGACAAGATGTGCTGCAAGCTTATAAACGAGCATACCGGAAGTCTAAACTTGAGCCTTCTGGCTACTATGAATCCGGACAAGGCCCTTCTTGCCGAAGTGCTTCAAGGCATTCTCACGGATCCTTCGCTTTGCTGTTCTTACTTATCTATTTTTTTGGCAAGGAACCCCCTCGTTAAAAACGCAACATCCTAACGCACCTCTTCACACCTCTGACTTGTCCTTCAGTGATCTTGACCTCGCGCTTAACCAAGAGCCACATACCCAAATATTGGACCACTATACCCAGAAAAAAAAGTAGTTGCTTCATGCAGTGCATCAAAAATAAAAAATAAATATTCAATATTCGAATTTTTTGTTTTTTTTTTACAGTTGATTATACGGAGACTAGTCATAAGAATTGTAATTTATTAATTTGTTTTTTTTTTTTAACAAAAGTAAATGATAGTCTGTGAATATCTATAAGGAGATTTTCAATTCCTAACAGAAACATCCTTTTTTGTATGCGCCTCCAGTGGGGTCCTTCAAACTTACGTCAATCACTGAAAAAATACATTAGCGCTTAATAATCAACTCTACATGTAATCTCTTATTCAACTTTTAATAAACAAGATTCGCTTAATTAAGAGTTGTACGCTAAAACTCGCTGTTGCTTTAAAATTTCCAAAGTTTAAAAAATTACAGTTTTCCGCAAGACTTTCTCTTTCTGTGGATCCGTTAATGCCGGGAAGAGCACTTGCCACTTGGCGGAACAGCTCCCTTACATTCTGCCCAGTTTTAGCACTCGTTTCAATAAACATCACATTGGCGCTTGCTGCCTTCTTTTCTCCTTCATCTACCCCGATGACCCTACTCAAAGAAACTTAAGTTATTCATTTGCACTAATTACTCCAATGCTGCAAATATGAGTAGTTGGAAATAGTAATTAAATCAGATAATTTTCCTTTTTCAAAACAAATAAATTATCCGCGTAATTTCTATTTAAAGAATGGTTGAAGTGTCTGCGCTTAATAATCATTCCTTTTATTAATCAAGGCTTAAAGTAACAGAAGTACTATACTCTTGGTTTTACAACACTGCTTTCTATAAATAAAGCTTAAATAATAACCGTTTTCCTGCCAGATCCGTTTTATTACCGACGAGCATGATGATTGCATCATTGCTTCTTTCCTGTCTAACATCTTCAATCCACTTTGTGGTTTGTTCAAATGAATTCCGGTCTAAAGTACCAATATATTATTAAATATATTCTAACTAATAGAAACTGTAAATTCACCAAGTTAAAAAAAATAAAGAAAAATACTTGTTATGTCATAAACTATAACAGCCACGGAAGAGTCTCGAATATAGCTAGGAATAAGACTTCGAAATCTCTCTTGACCCGCCGTATCCCTATAGACGGGCGTACAAAAATTAAGATAACATAAAAAACCAAGAAATAAGTATAGGGCATATAAAAACTTAAATTATTGTATTCTATCTTTAAAAAGATATTTATAAAAAGTAAGCTTGAAAATAACAATAATTACAAAAACAAATATAAACCACTGAAAATGAAAAGGTTTAAAAAGAGGAAGGCTTTATTAACTACCAAAGCTGTAAGCGTAACGTTTTGTCATTAAAATACATTGTTTTCGATAAAAAGTCGATTCCAATGGTGGCCTGAGAGTAAGAAAAGAGTTTTAATAATTTATATATAAAAAGCGATTGTTAAGGATTAAATAAATAAAAAGGCATAATACCTGATAAGCTTCATCAAAAGTGTCGTACATGTAGCGCGATATGAGTGAAGTTTTACCAGCTGTTATGAACGTAAATAGTTTATCGAAATATTCACTTAAATTACATTCAGTCAATACTTAAAAGGTTTGTATACCACTTTGCTCACCGAGAAAAACCAACTTAAATTTTCTTAGGGCATTTCCACCAAATTCGTTAGACATGGCCACCACTGAAAATGAATAAAGGTTAATTAATTTATTTTGTAGATAAAAAAATATTTAAAAAAAAAATTAGTTTTATTTTTAAATAAATAACAATTGGTAGAAAACTTTTATTAAAGTGAAAGGCAAAGTTCAGTAAATATATAGCAAAAGAGATAGCTCTAATTTTTTAAAATTATCTTTGCCTTTAGTTAATTCTACAAAACTTTTTTACGTAAACTTTATAATTCATATTAACAAAAAATCGTTGCATAAGCTTATGACTTTAAAGTAAGGCTCAAAATGTACCTAAAGTCGTCTAAAAAAAATTAAAGCTCCAATAGTTGTAGAAGATTAAAAAATCGCACCCTTCCATAGGTTGTAAAAGCGAATGTAAGTCAAAGAAAAAAACTCATAAGCTACACTCAGAAAATGTATGTGCGTTTTTCTTGGTATTAGCTATGTAAAGGACTTTATAAATTTTGATTTTTTTAATTACTTCAAAATATGAAATTCTAGTTTCTAGATACTCGGCTATAACTTGGAGTCAAGATAAGAAAGAAGATATTTAATTTGTAAATGGTGTGTAGACTGTGATGACCAAATATAGAGCCTTTTCAAAGTGTTACAGTATAGTTTACTAAAAGGTCTTTGAAACTAAGTACACTTCACCAAAAAATTAACTTAGGTCATGTAGTCTTTGCCTTCTCAATAATTTAACTATATTGTACAATTTAAACTAGGCCTGCATACTCTCTGCCTCCCTAACGTAGCTCAGAAGTGGCTCTGACTTTCTGGACCTAAATTTGCTTTAGAAACATGTCGAATAGATCAGCCTGTCTCTTCTCTTAATTTTCCATAACACTAAAATTGTTATAAAAAAAACCAATTTAGTAAAATTTTTGCCTGTTTGTAATATTCTTTTGAAATACTTACCTCTGTTACAGCGATTAATTTTAGTAGTCTCACCCCTAACTTTTATAATCATGTAAAATGGACCTTATACCGACGCGTTAAGGAATCTGTAACAACTATAAAGTATATATGTTTAGAAATTCAGTCCATTTTATACTATTGCCAGGCCCTGCCAGTATTATCCTTTTCTAAGAATTTGTAATCTTTTTACAAACATACCAAAAACTCTAGTACTTGTTCATTACTAAGTGACGTCCCTGGTTATAACGACATGCTTTACTTTGCTTTGGTAGAAACTATCATAGAACAATATAATACCAATTAACTACGTAGTGTTAATTAATATGTGTACCAAGTCAGGTACAACACTGATATGTTTTATCGTGAAGCACTAAATTATAGCTCTATTCTTTTTTGATCTCCTCTGATGCTTACAGATTTTTATTTTGGGGCCGCTTAGTTTTATGTTCACACAATTTTATTAATAGCTTTCCATGAGCTTACAGTTCATATTACCCCATTGATTGGCCTTTGGCCCACATAGTCTTTGTGTATTCCCCCAACACTCTCGTGGTCTGGTAGGTCATTGTGCTGGTTTTTGCGTCATTTAAATAAAGAGTGCCCACCATAGACCTCTTTTATAGCTCCTACCGTGTGCGCAACAGCTGTGTCTAAATCGAAGGCTATCTCAGTGGTGTGCACCATGCATGCTTTTATCTAAATGGTGCCGATATGTGGTCAACTAGTAAACAATTTTTTTAAATACTTTGAATAGAATTTATATGACGGCGAGGTTCAACATGCAATCGATAAAGACCGGAAAAGACAGTCGCGTTGGTGGGACTCCAAACCACGACCTTGAGTGTGCGTACCCATGCTCTTAAGATTTTAGCTAAGGAAGTCAATTCTCAACTCCTTTTTACCAGTGAGAGTTGGACAAGGCAAGTAAGAAATATATTACTCTTACTATGCTAAATGGACGCAAAGCATATTGAACAGTTTTGCCTTTGGCTATGTACATATTAAAAAATGAATAACCATTTTATTTGCAGGCCTGAAAAATATGTGTGTTACGTGAAACGAACAAATAGGGTGTAGTAAAATTAAACGGCTAACTAAATAGCATTAGAAAAGCCGGTAAGGAATACAAAAAGTCCAATGTCCTATTGAGGCTAAAAAAATGTTAATTTGTAAGAACATCATTTAGTGGCTAGGAAACGCTCTTTTAAAAAACGGAGCTCTACAAAGGCGATTAGAATAGTGTAGTTTGCTACAAATGTTAACATATCAAAGCTTAAAAGCTAAAATTTTTAAAAGGTTTTTGAAAAATTGCTAATTTTTTTTAAACTGAAAGACAACAACTAACCTAGAGAGTAAATCACCGTATTAGCTGCGTATAAGGCTATCCTCTCGTAAAGATAGTAGTGCTGTGGTACATCGCGCATATAAAATGCAAAGAGCAAAGGTATCATTTTATTGTTTCAATATTTTTTAATTGTAACGCTGCCTTGCTACAGAAAGTGATTATCAATTAACATCTTGAAAGGTTTTAAATTGTCTCGAACATTCCAAACCCCTCAGTACATTAAAAAGCCAGGAATATGAAAAAATATAAGAACAGCCAACCTCGCCTATGACGAATTCGCTACCAAACCTTTCGGGTTCTGGACTTGAAACAACGTTTGGCAAATATGCTTTGCAATAGAAGTCGAAACCCGATTATTTTTTTAAAAACTTAACTTGAATGGATTTTAACCGGAACCAATAAAACATGCTTATAATGATTTAAAAAAACATTTTAACTGTCCTATTTTTTCCAAATTTTTTATCGCTTTTTGGCGAAACCTCGCTTTTAACGAACAGAAATAGCCGGCCCCCTGGAGTTCGTTATAAGCGGGTGGACTGTACAAAAATTTATATGTAAATCAGCCCTCGTTTCCTTTTTTCCCCATTTTCTTCTTTATACCATTGTTTTTTAATTTAAAAGGCCCGCTTTCCGAAATTACCATCAAAGCGAGGTCCTTTGCTCAAAAACATTTCCCAACTTCGTCGATAGATTTTTGATATCAACTAGCCTTAGAACTACTATAAAGTATTTTACTACTAATAGAGTGTGACAGACGCAAGGAAGAAGTTACAATATACGCAAGCTTAATCACGATCCTTTGTAAAGATACTAGACACCTTAAGAATGGGGAAAGGCCTTAACCAAGAACAAAACCTCCCCGAAACTAAATTATGAGCCGATGGTTGATACCGGCGTTTACCTCCATTTTGTCAAAGATCACTCTTTTTTACTTTATTTAAATACGGCAAAAATGTGGTTGATACCATAAGTGTCCAAACTAAAGCGCATACGTCTGGGCTTTTAAAACTATTTGATCGGGGAAATGCAATCTTTCGAAGATTCACGAAGTAATTTAATTTCAGTTAGGAAATTAAATAAAAAGGTATATAATGTACATTTTTTTAAAGAGAACAAAGCAACAAAGTTGAAAATAATAACATTATGCGCAAGGTGTTAAGAGTAGGGGGGTTTATGTTATTAGCCTCTACCCAAGTTGTAATAACTACTTTGTAATATTATCCTTCAGTCCTACAAACCCAATCTTATTGAACACTTCAGAGACAGAAATCTTGACTTTCAAATTCTTAAAAGACTCTTTACTAGAATACCATTTTTAAGCTGCGAAATCTGCTTAAAGTGTAAATATAAAAAAAAAAAAAAAAAAAAAAGAGAGCGAAAGAGTAAAACTCAATTACAAATTGCCAGGATAGCTAGAATACGTTGACACTATGCAATGGGACATAATCTCATACCACAAGTTTAGGTGCGTCGTAATGCCATTATTGCCAAGTCTAAACACATTACACCGCTAACTGCTAAAAATAAAGAAGAATTTAAACACCTTATAATTTGCTTTATTAAACAACACAATAAACTTGTTAAAAACACAAAACTTAACTAACCTACACTTACTGCTCTCATTCGAAGAATTACGCATTGAAAAAAGATAGGCTATGGCTGGATCTTCGACAAGAGGGTGTATGACTACACATAGTGCCAAAGGATATACATAGTATATGTTAAGCGGAAAGAATGTTCAAACTAACTAATGCGAATCTCTGTTTTTGAAAACAATTACAACTACCTCTTAAACACTGGAGTGGGACATTTCGTGAGCCGGTTTCAATTACCACTACGTACCCAAAAAAAAAAGAACATTGCTCGTCTAATGAACTTTTTGATTAAAATCAGGGAATCGACTTAGTGAGCCACGTGGTCGCAAAGTCTTTTTTTCAGGCTCGAGGCTTGAAAAGAAGTCACAGGACTGAGCACTGGAAAGAGTGCCCTTATAAAAATTTAATGACTTTAGCGACAAAAACCTTTAAAACGTTGCGATGTAGGGGTGTTTGAAAGGGTATTCCTTTATGATCCTATACGAAGCTAAGATAAAGTATGTGAACAACACTACCCTGGGCTTATCACCCTACAACCAACTTACCGTAAAATTTTTCATAAAACCCTCTCAAATGTAAAAGAGTCAAGGTTAATGATGATGAGAAATGAAATAAACCATTTGGGAATACATTAAGTCACAAGCAGAGCTCAGAAGCCGAACCTATCTTGTCTTGTTATCGACCAAAATATTAAAGAGCAAACCTTAGCTGACGGAATTTATTATAATTTACCTGAAAGAAAAATTTAAAAGAATGATATTACGAGAAGAGAAGTTGAAACAGAACTAAAGATAGTGAGGTTACCCCAGTTAAATTTCATACACCTGTACTTAAAGTAAATTCTCGTTACATGTGTATTATCAAAAAGGACGCGCGGGTGGTTACGTACACGAGATCTGCCATCGTTACTCATCACCAGTCTTTTGCTAAGTAAAACAAATTAAAGAGAACGGACCTGTTAAAACAAACTTACATAATATACTAAAAAAGCATTTTAAAACGAAAGATCGGAACGAATATACAATTAAACTAACACAAGTGGAAGATGAGCATGGTATCAGACTATGCGATAACAAAAACAATATATATTATACGCAAGAACAACACTAAGAATTCTATGTCGAACTGCACCCCAAACCTGATCTG